TCGATTGTTGCCCTTCTGAGACCACAGCAATACCTTGGTTGTCAAAGGGTTCTAAACTTGAACTTCCCACTATTTGAACAGCAACGTTGGAAATCAATTTGTTCCACAGGCAAATGTGTTAGTCTGGGTTGCCTAGAGAATCAAATTTATAGAGACAAATTCCTACGTGTATAAGAAAGAGGTTTATATACGAGAACAATTGAATATTGAGAAAACATCCCAGCCCAGTCCAGATCAAGTCCATAAATCTGATATTAGCCCATGTGTCCGATAGCAACCTTCAATGCCCTCTTCAGACTCATGAAACACATGCAATGAGCCGAATGCAGGAAGATCACAGGCCGGTGGTTAGGAAGTCTTGTTGATCCAGTGCTGTGCAAGCATCTGAGCACTGGCAGGGGTCTCCACCTGGCTCCACCTGGCTCCATGTGTCTTGTCATCAGTAATGTCTCACAGGGAGTGAGCGTGTGTCCCGCCTCCAGCGAGCTATTTATCTCCTTAGCGCTCCAAATGAGGTAATCAAGCTGCAACCTGATGGACAGGCTAAACTCCACCCCTTCACTCTTAAGTCTCAAATGGACAACAGATTATGTAACTGCCCCAGCAAACTGAAAATCCAACTTGAAAAACCCTGTACAAAAGCGAGTCAAGAGTTGGGTCTCTCTTCAGACACAAAAGGATGACGCTTCAGCCTAAGCACCAATCTCACTCCGACAACATACAGTGTTCACGTTAGTGCCTCAAAAACGTTGACCAGTGTGCTTTTTGTGTGCTTAATTTGTGTAAAATATCGTAACCGCCGTTCCAAAGAAAGTGATACCAGCCGTAAAGCTAAGAGAAAAACTACGAGAACCGCAATAGCATGAAAGAAAGAGATCATTGCCAAATTTGAATCAGGTCATGGTCTGATTTGGTGACTGAACAACATGACTAAGTGGACGTTATCAACATTTGGTGGGGGGTGGGTGGGCAGGGAATGTGATCAAAACAGCTCTGTAGCAAAAAGTTTGAAATCACTAACCACGAAACAAAGAACCCAGGACATCGAAGAGGTTGAAAAGTTACTGTTAATTTGGACACATCAGAAATAACTAGATGGCGATAGCATATCCCAGTCAGCAATGTGTCAGAAGGCTGAGCCTCCTTAGCAAATTTATACGTGCAATTTGGGGCCTCAGAACCAATTATTTGGTTTTCTATGATTTCTTACGGGGAAAAATATGTTTAGTTCTTGAACTTTTCAGTGTTCGAACACAAATTTGGAACTGGTTGAGTTCACTATATTTTTGAATATTGACCTCTAAAGCTTTTGTCTAATAAATGTGTGGTGTGTTAAGCATCTGGATTTGTGGTCATGTGTTCCATCATCCATAGGAAACTAGTACACCATTAAAATAATAATGAAGAAATATAATTATTTTAATAAATGCAGAAAACAACATTTACAAACTCTAAGATTCTGTCCTAATATCTTAGCAAAGTTGCAAAAAAATTTTTCCACCTGATAAAAGGCATCTATGAAAAACCTAGAGGTTAAACATCATACTTAATGATGAACGACGGAATGCTCTTTCCTGGGAAGATCAAGGACAAGAGAAGACTCACCACTTCTAGTCAAGGCTATATGGAAGGTTCTGACCAGGATAATCAGGCAAGACAAGGAATTAAACACATCTCAAATAGAGAAGTAGAACTGTATTTGATTTATAGACTATGATACGATCTTTATGGAAAATCATCTTGAATCTATGAAAACAAATACTAGAGCTAATAAATGAGCAAGGCTGCAAGATACAAGCTCAATATTCAAAAAATCAATTGCATTTCTACAAACTAGCAATGAACCATCAGAAACTGATATCAAAAATAATACAATTTAAAATAGCACCAAAAGTAAAAAATAAATCAATCAATTAATTAATGACCAGTATAGTGAAAACCATGTCATTGCTATAACAAATTTAAAAAGATATACATGAATATTGATATATGTACTATGTTTATGGGGTAGAAGACTAAATAATTGTTAATGTGTCAGTTCTTCTGTAGATTTAACACAATTCCGACTAAAAACCTAGCAGGACTTTTGTAGATATGGGCAACTAATTCTCACATTTATATGGAAATGTAAAAGACCTAGTATGAAGATAAGTTTTTTTTTAAAAAAGTATGACTACAAAATCATGGAAATATTTCCATGAATCAAAAATATCAAAATATGAAGCTATCGTTTCTCTCCTAAACACTTCTGAAGGCATTGTATCTATCTCTCTAACTCTTCCCCAAATAATCCTGGGATTTTCAATTTACATCATGTCAAAACAGTTTGGGCATCCCGGAGGGGCTCAAAGTGTGTTCCTTTTTAAATGTTTATTTTGGTTTTGTTTTGTTTTGGGAACAAAATAGAAGGGGCAAGATCAGAGCTGACAGATAGAGTAAGATTCCCCAGTGGAATTCTCATAGCACAGCCCTTGCGACACTCAAAGAAATGAGCGGGTACATTGTTATGATGGGACAGAATTCCTTGGCACAATTTTTCCCTAAGTGCAGCTTCAATCTTCTTAAAACTTTTCCTAACAAGCCCTCGTGACCATCTTGTGTCCTTTCAGGATCACTACTCCTTTGGGACACCACAACACAGTCACTGTAACCTTCTAAGCTGATCTCTCTGCCTTGAACTTAATGGAGCCAGCAGGTCCCTCAGATGACCTTGTCTTGATTGGACCTTGTTTTCGGACGTGCCCTAGTGAGACTAAGACAAGTGTGTGATAGGCGATGTGTCTGCAGCCATCCGATGATCACAGACATATTTAAACACCCTGCGTTTGGAAATAAGCATTGGCATGTGTGAATAAGAACCCCAGTCACCATACTTTTTAGTTTAACCCTCGTGTAGTTAAAACCAAACAAAAAAACCCACAACAGACAAAGACTTAGAAAATGGACAAAGTTAGAGGCCTGTCCCGCTAAATTTCAGCATTGTTAGAATGATACGACAATCAAGATCGTAATATTGGTGCTAACACAGACGAATAGAGAAGTCAAAAGAAAGCCCACACACTGGAGGCTGAGGGGCAGACAGACACACACCTCAGGATCTGTGGTGGGACCCCCCCTTTCCTGTAGCTGTCGTCAGGCCCGTGTAGCCCCTACCCCTGTACCTTCCTCCTCTTCCCCCACCGAGTACTTGTAGACACTCCAGTCCCTGTTTGTATTATGGTACCTGGTCCCTTGCCAGGTGGGAAGAGGCCGTGCAGGGACTCACCACCCTTCTCCACCCCCATCAAAAAAAAAAGGAAACAAGGAAACATGTGTTTCCACCAGGACAGTTTTCTTCCCCTTCCCTTTTTCTAACACCTGAACTCAAGATTGGGGCTCAGGTAGGCCTGGAGCTCCATCCATTGTGCCCCAGGGAAGGGAGGGCTCCGTGCCGGGGCAGAGCCCCAGCAGGCAGGCTGGGGGTGGATGGACCCTGAGCAGGCCTTCTGAGCAGTACAGGAAGCTCCTTGTCAGCTGCCCCCCTTTATGTAAATTCTCAGAGTCACCTTTGCATAGGAAATGAAAGTGTGCGCTCAAAAAAAAAAAAAAAAAGAAGTCCCACACATCCATGGACAAAAAGAGACTGTTTCAAGAAGCAGTTCTAGAACACAGAGATATCCTTATGCAAAAAAATAGAGCTTGATCCATACTGCGCATCATCTTAAATTAACGGAGAATAGATATTAGGTCTAATTGTAAAGCCTAACACTAAAAAACTTCTAGATGAAACTGAGATTGTGTGACCCAAGGCTTCTTAGATATGACGCTAAAACTTGATCCATAAAAGAACAGACTGGACGTCATCAAATTGACAAACTGCTCTTCAAAAGATACTGTGTAGAGAATAAAGCTACAGACCACAGACTGAAAGAAAATTTTTGCAACTCATCTTGCTCATCAAGGACTATATATTATCCATAATATATAAAGAGCTTCCAAAACAATATTAAGAAAATTAACACTCCAATTAAAAGTACATTTTAATATTACATATAATAGACATGTAAATGATTTTAAAAGACATTTCACCAAGGTATACAGATGGCTAAAAGCACATTTGGCTTAACACCATTAGTCATCATGTAATGTAGGCTAAAACTCACAACTTAATACCACTGCATATCCACTGGGATGACAATAATAAAAAAGATGGGCAATAGCAGGTGTTGGTGTGGCTGTGGAACATTGATGCTTAGGGTCGGGGCACTTATGTGTGGGAGCAGATGGTCTTAAAAAAGAACTCAGAGGAATGCGTGTCAGTGTCTGATGTTGGAGCTATTGGAGCCGAATGCTGTCCCAGGCTTCCGAGCCATAGAGTGCATTAGTGGGACCGTCTGAACTTCATTTCCTTCTCCAAGACCACTCCACTGCACAGTAGGCAAGGCCCGTGGGAAGGAGCGGACAGCTCACAGCCAGAGAGCTAATGCACTGCATAGTCTGACCTTCAACTAAGATAAAGTAGATGCTTTCTCTCCCGTTCCCTGGGAAACTGCCCAAACAGTGGTCTGCAGGTGCTCCGTGATCCTCCCTGGTTTTGGCTTTATCTTCCCCTCCAGGGTACAGATACATCGGCTGAAAGATTATGGCTTCTTTGTTTGCCTTCAAAGAAATTGTCCACCAACCCTCCGTGTGAGCACTTGCGGAGGAGAGTGGCAAGAACTGCTTATCAGCCCGCCCAGAATAAAGTTCTGGGCCCTGGAGTCTCTTCCTGCACCCCTGATGCCCCAACTTTGTTACCTTTTATCTCTAATCCATCTCTCTCAATTGTGACCGTGCCCTCTCAACCCTGCTTTGATTTGTGAGAGCCGGTGTCTCACCCCTGTGCTCTAAGGTTTATGCTGAGAGAAATAAGAATGGAGGCAAGAGGAACGTGGCAAAACAAGGAATGGGGCTGAAGCAAAGAAAAGCTTTGATGAGGCTCAGGGTAACTAGGTATGATTTGATTTTTCCTGTGGTGCCAGGTGAAGAAAATAAAGCAACTCTCCTTGAACTTGGCGCTGTGGAACCGTTAGCTAAACTGCTCACCCATGAAGACAAAGTTGTAAGAAGAAATGCTACTATGATTTTTGGAATCTTGGCTTCAAATAGTAAGTGTCAACTTTTTACAATGATGAAATCTCACGTAAGACATGATCCTTTTCAATTTTAATTTTAAGGGACTGGTTTTAAAAAATATTTTAAAACTGACTTTAATGTTAATTTTAAAAGTTGAGTTCAACAAATATGTGATTTTATATTGTAAAGGATAGTTTTCAAATGGAACAACATATCTAAATGCACCTGTGCAAAACTATTCTCAAAGCCATGATGTTCCGATTGCATAAACTGAGAGCCCAGGCATTGACCTTTAATGTTGAATGCTTTTCTTTTTTTAAATTTAGTGTAGTGTAATTTGCCTGCAGATATGTGTATTATAATCCATATAAAGAACTTAGATAGATTGATTTTTTTAAATTTCAAACTACATTTTGCCCAAAATGAATTTTGAGGTGTATTTACTTCTTAAATCACACTTATTACTTGCTTGTGATGTTTTCATATATTTAATATATTGGTATAATAACATTTTAAAACCAGGCTCCTTTGTCTTCAGAATGTCAGGTTGACTAAAATCATGTCCAAAAGGGCAGACTTTGGTGATTAGGATGTTTTCCCTTTGTAGGTCATTTTATAGTTTAACACATAACCCGAGAGGAGTTATTATGCCCTCTTTCCACGCAAGGCAACTGAAGCACAGAGAAAAGTGAAACCGGGCAGCAATCGTTGGGGTAGGGGCCTTTTCAAGTTTATCTCTAGCGTTGCCCATATAATAATTCTGCTTCAGTGCTTTATTGAATGCATTTACAATAAAATGAGGGAAAAGTTAACATTGCCTAGTTGTATGCTACCCCGCCACAGAATTTGAGAACCAATGTGCCTCCTGCACTGTCTCCTCATTTTAAAAAGAGAGGACAGTTCTCGGAGGATTAGATGACTTGCCCAAAGTCACGTGACTGGTCCGTGACAGAACTGAGGGTGAGAATCAGAACTCTGCCCTCGCCGGCAGAGATCCCCAGTTTGGTGGTCAGCTTTCTGTTCCGTAGGTCTTCCAGGGCCCGTCCAGTAGTGTGCATGCTAAGTCAGGCTCTCCTGATGAATGACCTTGAGGAAGACTTTATGCCACAATCGGCTCAGACGTAATAGTAATTGTGGGCATGGCCACAGGCTCACCAGGAGAGAGAGCTGACTCACGGGCACAACCACCACCTCTCCCCTTTGAAGAGTCGAGACTTACCGTCTAATTTAATCTCTAAAGGAGCCCTGGTGGTACAGTCAGCTAAAGGCTGGGCTGTGTGCGTGTGTGTGTGTGTGTGTGTGTGTGTGTGTGTGTGGTGTTCGGGGCTGTCAAGTTGGTTCATAGTGGCCCTCTGTACCACGGAATGACATGCTGCTGTGTCCTGTGCCATCTTCAACGTTGTTCTTGTGTTTGAAACCCTCGAGGCAGCCACTTGTCCATCTGTCTTGTTGGATTGGCGTGATACAAGCGAGCCGCGCCTCTTAGGCTCGCAGGAGCTCGCTGTGCAGGTTTGCCGGGCAGTGACTCAGTGCCAAGAGGAGGTCCTGGGTCTGTGATGGCCCTCCCACTAGGGTACGTGCTAAGTCAGCCCCTCCTGCTGAAGGACAGTGGGCAGAGGCCCTGCCTGCATGTGGGCCCCCACATCTCTGCTGCTGAGCTAGTGGGTCTCAGGTAGGCTAATGAGTTTCTAAAAGGTTTTTTTTTGCTTCCAGGAATGGGGTGAATAAAATAAAACTATTATTTCAAGTAAGGCGTCTTAAATTTCTATTTGAATGCCAGATGACACAGCTAGAACAGTGCATCTTTAACCACCTGGGAAGGTTTTCTTCCGCTAGGAGAGCCAACACACCAAACGCTCTTGCTGCACGTTTCACACGAGTCCATGAAAGCGCGGGGCACCGCAGGAGCAGAACGATGTTGAAAAGTAGACCTGGGATCTAAATGAAGACGCTGCCCTCCAGCTCCCTGTGTGTAAGGCTCCTCTGCAGAGCTGCCCCGTCACACTTCGTCTTTGGGCAGTCTTCCTGCAAGTGCTGCCTCTTCAGACACCTGTGTCTTTGTGTGGTTTGCAGACAGTCAGCACCATCACTGTGCTCACTGTGTGTGAGCCTGATGCCCTGGCAGGATGCCACGTGCCAGAAGGAATCCCAAGAGAGCTATTGTCCTCTTTTGCAGTTGTGAGTCAGATATGTCTGTGCTAAGCCGGGGGCCTCCCAGACCGGTCCCTACCTTACTTGGTTAAGCCTCTATCCAAACGGAGCTGCTGTCTTCCGTCACCTGCGCATTTAGTTTGACAAGGCCACCCAACAGCGGAGGCCTGGTTCGGGGAGTCAGGTGAAGAGAGGGGTCCTGTGAGGTGAACAGCGGGAGAAGGAGCCGTAGCAGCTTTCGAGCTGTGTGAGGAGCTTGCCATTTCAGCACAGAGTGGATGTGGAAGCGTAAGTACTGTCAGCAGGAAGTGAGAGGGCCGACATTATGCAACTAAGGATGTGTGAACAAGAATGCAGCGAAAACAGATTGCACGCAGGACATTAGGGTGGCGACAGGCCGGTCTGAAACACCTGAGCATTGTAGGCGTCAAGGTGCTTGGCTCGAACATGTTCACACGGCCCCATCAGTCAGAGTCTCTGTTCCGTCATCACAGCTGAGAGGGCTCTTTGTGGAAGAGGCAAAGGAGCAGAGATGGATAATGTGTTGAAAAGGATGGAAGCCATGGCTTTGGCTGTCTTCAAGAAGAGAAATATCCTGAGAAAAAGCTGGTCTCAAAAAGCAGAACAACAGAGTCATCCACTGTACCACCCATTTACAAGAGATGCCTATTGTGTTAGTCTGGGCCGACTAGAGAAATGCATGGACACGTATGTGTATGAGAAGTTTATATACAAGAGCAATTGAATATTGAGAAAACATCCCAGCCCAGTCCAGATCAAGTCCATAGTCTGATAGTAGCCCATATGCCTGATACCAATCTGCAAATTCCTCTTCAGACTCAGACAATACATGCAATGGCGCCAAATGCAGGAAGATCACAGGCCAGTGGGTGGAACGTCTTGTGGATCCAGTGGCGGTAGAAGTATCTCTGCTCTGGCGGAAGTCTCCACATGGCTCCTCCAGCTCCAGGGCTCTACTGTAGCTCCATGTGTCTTCTCAACAGGAATGTCTCACAGGGAATCCGTGTGTGCCCCGCCTCCAGTAAGCTAGTTAGCTCCATGGTGCTTCCAAATGAGATCATCAAGCTGCGACCTGATGGACAGGCTACACTCTACCCCTTCACTCTTAATCGTCTCAAACTGACAACAGATTATGTAACTGCCACACCTATGTAGAAAGCCTCTACGGAGATAACAGGTAGATAGATCTGTTGTGACCATCACTTACCATTTGAGTTCTATTTGGATCTAGAGGAGAATTCCCCCCACAGAGCAATCCTTTGAAGGAGACTTGAGATTACATGGGCAGACCTTCGTGGAGTGCCAGGATGCTGGCCGTAGGAATGCCGTGCCATGGGCTCTCCTCCAGGGAGTGGGTCATGCAGCGAAGGCACAGAGCATGACTCGTGTGGACCTTGTGGTCAGTATAGCAGCAAAAGCTTTTTCACCACATGGAAGAGGCTCTGGTCTCCCACACAGGAACTGTACTGGGGGATCAAAGCCCAGAGGTATTGATCTGAAGCACTTGCAAAAGGAGATGTCCGCGTGCCTTTCAGAGACACCATCCCGAGGGCAAGACAGACGAGAATCGGAGGACTGAGAGGAGAACAATGGCACACTTCTCTGGCGGGGGCGCACCTGTCTAGCTCATCAGAACACTTGGAAGGATCGGAGCCTCACGCCAAGGCTATGATATCTTGACCTGTGGAGAATGATTTTATTGATTTGTTTTGAGATGAGTGCTAATGATACTTATACTCTGGGCCGGTACACTTGAGAAGTCCTACTATACTGCCCTGTCCACAGTGAGTTGTACTTTTGTTGGATCTCTTTCGGCCAGTCGGGACAGAGTCAGGAAGAGCAGACTTTTTGACAGGTTGCAAACCGGCCAGCTCCCTGCGTCCCTCAGGAAGAGGCATCCAGTAAAATCCAAGTCTATCCGGCAGTTAATGAGGAAGAATGCATCTAGAGACCATATGTTGTTCAGCTGCTGTAAAGTGGACTTTTCCAAAATTCTGGGAAGGTGCTAATTTTGAGCTACAGATGAAGATAACTGACCAAGAAGAGAAGCTGCCAAACTTAAGGAGCGTCGGCACCTATTTCTCAGAGTGAGGTTAGGGTGGCAGCAAGGAGGTATAATTAGGCAAATATATGCAATTTAAAGGGGAACTTTGAAAATAAGCCAGTATACTTATCTTGAAGCGTTCTGGGCATTTCTGAACAATGAAATGGAAATGTAAGTATTCAAGGTGTAGTTACTGAAACTGGCTGGGATAGTTGGTATCTGCGTTCTGTACAAGTTGTGTTTACACGAAAATCCGAAACTTGTCTCCCCACCCTTGTAACGGCAACAACAACAAAAGACTGAATAACACCCTTATTTAAGTGTGTTCGCAGTGATTAAACTTGACTGGCACGTATGCTAAGAGCAATCTGCACTTTTCTGGTGAAAGGAAGCCTTCCTGCAGAGGTTAGACTTCTGGCCAGAAGTTTGTCCTTTTGACTCTCCAGCTGTTCCTGGGAGGATCTCTGTGGCAGCCTGCTTCTGTAAAGATGCACAGCCGTGAAAATCCTCCTGGCAGTTCCACTCTATCTTGGAGGGTTGATGTGGATGGGAATCAACACAGCTGCAGCGGGGTTTTGGTTGTCCAGCGACATTGAACTCCACTAGGCTGTCCGTGTGTGGCACTGACGTGGCTGCGTGGTGCTGTAATGCTGGAAGCTATGGAATCCAGGCCACCAGTACTTCACGTACCAGCAGGGTCTCCAGTGGTGAAAAGGTTTTAGTGGGGCTTCTAGATTAAGACCAGGTTATGCAAAAGGAGTGGCCGGTGCTCTTCTGAGGGATGAGGCACTGACAACCGTATGAATTGCATTGGAACATGGTCCGATAGAGTGACGAAAGATGAGCCCAGCAGATTGGACCACACCAAACTCACTGCCATTGAGTCAATGCTGACTCCCTTCAACCCCTCTGTGGGCTCCTAAGACTCTAAATGTTTATGGGAGGACAAAGCCCAGTCGTGCTCCCCAGGAGCTGATGATGGTTTTCAGCGGCAGACCATGCAGATCGCAGCCCAGTGCATAACCAGGGCACCACCAGAGCTCAGAATATGACTGGTGATAACCTTCCCCTCCATGTAACATTGGCAACCAGCGTGTGGATCGGCCATGCTCTCGGAACCTTCACCTGCTGATGAGAATGAGACACAGCTCACAATGAGAAGAGACCATTTCAAACGTCCATGAATAATCAGAACATAGAATGGATGAAGTATGAACCTAGGAAAAGAGGAAGTTGTCAGAAGCAAAATGGAGTGCATAAAGATTGATGTCCTCGTGGGCTGAAATGTACTGGTATTTGGCCATTATGAATCAGAGCATCATCTAGTTCACTAAGCCAAGAATGACAAATTGAAGAGGAATGGTGTCGAATTAATCATTAAAAAGGACATTTCAAGATGTATTTTGAAGTACAATGCTGTCTGTGATAGGATAATAGCTACACGTCTGCAAGGAAGACAAATGAATACAACTATTATTCAAATTTATGCACCAACCACTACTGCCAGTAATGAAGAAATTGAAAAATTCTACCAACTTCTTCAGTCTGAAATTTATCACACATGAAATTGAGATCCATTAATAATTACTGGTGATTAGAATGCAAAAGCTGGAAACAAAGAGGGAGAACTAGTAGTTGGGAAATAGAGCTTTAATGACAGAAAGGACATTGTAGATCACATGATAGAATTTTGTAAGACCAGCAATTTCTTTTTTGAAAATGCCTTCCTCCATCCACATAAACAACAACCACACACAACGGACTGCCTCAAATGCAATGCACAGGAGTCAAACTGGCGACAACCGTGGGCAGAGAACATGGCGAAACGGACTATCATCAGCCAAAATTAGGCAAGGGATTCATTGTGGTGCAGACTAGCCATTGCTCATATGCAAGTTCAGGTTGAAACTGAAGAAAAATAAAACAAATACACTCAAAATGTGACCATCGGAGATACCACCTGAATTCAGAGACCATCTCAAGAACAGATTTGATGTCTCGAACACCGATGGCCTAAGACTCAACAAGTTGTGGGATGGCATCAAGACCATCATTCATGAAGGAAGCAAAAGGTCATTAAAAAGACAGGGACTTGCTCTGGAACGTGGAGTAGGCAAGGGGGTTGGAAGGAATTATTCAGTAAAAGAAATGACAGAAAAATTGACAGGGCAGGCCCAGAAGACAGAGTAAAGCATTATAACGAAGGGTGCAAAGACCTGGAGTTAGGAAACCAAACGAAAGGACTTCTCCGCAGAAGGAACTAAAGAAAAAATTCAAGCTCTGAGTTGTAATATTGAAGGAGTCTAGAGACAAAGTATTGAATGATGCAAGAAGCATCAAAAGAAATGAAAGGAATGCTCAGACTCACTACACCAAAAAGAATTGGTTGCCATTGAGAGATTCCAAGAGGTAGCATACGATCGAGAGCCAAGGGTATTGAAAGCAGAAGCTCAATGTTCCAGTGGAGGATTCATAAAGAACAAGACTCCAGGAGTTGATTGAATTCCAATGGAAATGCTTCAATAAACTCATGTACTCACCAGCCTATGCCAAAAAAATTGGAAGATAGCTACCAGGCCTACTGATTAGAAGGGATTTATATGTGTGCCCATTCTGAAGAAAGGGACCCAACAGAAATGATCAAACAGTGTCAATATCGCATGCAAGTAAAATTTTGGAGGCTGTAATTTAAGAGAGATTGAAGCAGTACATCAACAGGGCAGGAACTGCCAGAAACTCAAATCAGGTTCAGAAAAGGGTACTACGAGTGTTATTGCTGGTGTACAGGTGAATCTGGACTGAATGTAGGAAATATCAGAAAGGTATTTATTTGTGTTTTACAGACTATGTAAAGGCATTTGACGGTGTAGATGACACCAAACTCTAGACACTATTGAGAAAAATGGAATTCCAGAACATTTTACTGTGTTCATGCAGAATCTGTCTACAGACCAAGAGGCAGTTGCTCAAACACAACAAGTAAATATTAAGTGGTTTAAAATCAGGAAAAGTGTGTGTGAGGGCTGTATTCTTTCATCACACTGATACACAATCTGTGAAGGTGGACTTTATGGAGAAGAACAGGGCATCAGGATTGGGGCAAGGCTCATGAACAACCTGCTACAGCCTTCAGATTTGAGCCTTCAACTCAATGTATGAAAACAAACAATCCTCGTACCAATAGACAACATTGTGATAAAGGAGAGATTAAATCTGTCAAGATGTCACTTTGAGGACTAAGGTGCGCCTGACCCAAGCGATGACATTTTCCATTCATTTGTATACATGCGGGCAGTGAATAAGGAGGACTGGGGAAAAATGGACTCCTTCGAATCATGGTGTTGGTGACAGATCTGGAAAGCACTACGGGTCGCCAGAAGCACAAACACATCTGTTGTAGCAGAAGTACCGCCAGGAGGCTTGTTAGAAAGGGGGGCTGGCTAGAAGGACTCTCTATCCTTTGGACACTTCTCAAGAGAGACCCCTCCTGGAGAAGGACACCAGGCTCGGGAAAGCCGAGGGTCAGAGAAAAAGAGGTGGGCTGACACCAGTGCTACGACAATGGGCACAACATGACAACCATTGGGAGGATGGCACAGGACTGGGCAGTATTTCCTTGTGTTGCACTTAAGGTTGTTGTGAGTCAAGAGCCAACTTGAAAGCAACTGCCAACTATCACCCTGGGACGTAGTCAAACACCGTGATCAAGGAGTGTGAGCTAGTTTGCTGGAGTTGAGTGGTGCTGGGCGGGACTCATGAAACTGGACCCTGCACTTAATGCCTGTGTGACTGTGGGCCAATTTCCTTACTGGTATAATTTAATCATAATAGTATTTATTTCCTCAGGGACTCTTCAACCAGACAATGCCATTATCATTATTAATGAACTTCAGTGTTCTGTTTCTTTTGTAGATGACGTGAAAAAGTTGTTAAGGGAGTTAGATGTCATGAGTTCTGTTATTGCTCAGCTCGCTCCAGAAGGTAACTTTGCATTCTCTATTTTCTTTTTAAAATTGGGAATGGTTTCGTTTTACGATTGATCAAGCAACTGTCTGAAATTCGTTAAGAGAGACGAGTGGTGGACGGTCATGATAGTGGTCTCTAGCCAAGGTAGGAGTTGTAGATCTTTGGTTTCCAAATCATGTTTTAAAATAATGGTTGAATCAACATTGTGTGTGCTTGTATTGTTTGTTTTTGATATACAGAAGAAGTAGTTATCCACGAGTTTGCTAGTCTCTGTTTAGCAAACATGTCCGCAGAGTATACCAGTAAAGTGCAAATACTTGAATCTGGCGGATTAGAGCCGCTCATCCGACTGCTGGGCAGCCCAGACCCCGATGTGAAGAAGAATTCTATCGAATGCATCTACAACCTGGTGCAGGTAAGAGTTTCTAAAAAGCTTATCATAGAAGGTATTTTCTCGTATTGAGAAAAAACAACTTTAAAAGACTCACTGCTTGTTTGGAACTAATCAGTTCTATGTGGTACTTAGACAATGATATTTCTCATCCAGGGAGGTTAATGGAATTTAGTGTAAATACCTTACCATTTTTATGTTTTCTAAGTTATTTCCTCCCAATGGAATGGCATTTTAGATACATACTTCCCTTTTCAATAGAATGGCATGCAAATGAAGTTAGGGTTCTACTAGATAAAGTTTACTTTTTCTGAAAGAGGAACTCTGTTGTTGGCGTTGAACCAGGTTGGACCTGGGCACTGCCTCTTGGCCTAACACTGCTAGTGCCTTGAGCACATTCGATGGAGTCTTTTAGGGTAGACTTATTTACTGGGGGGAAACAGGATGATCTGAGTGTACGGAATCTAGCTCCGATCTTCAAAAGAGTTAAACACATACAAACAAACATGTACTATTTTTCTGTCATACAAAGACCTGACCTTCCTCCTTTCTCCCAGCATACACCCCCTGAGCCCAAGCAGCTACCTGACACTGGGGACAGCTTTCTCTGCTTCTTATCCTGCTCAGGCTCCTTAACAAATACCACACATGAGTACATTGACAAGCCTTGTTGTCATTGTTAGCTGCCATTGACTCTGACCCTTAGTTAGACCACATGTGCAGAGTTGACGGACCCTTGGTTAGACCATATGTGCAGAGTTGACGGACCCTTGGTTAGACCACTATGATCCTTGGTTAGACCACGTGTGCAGAGTTGACAGGCCCTTGGTTAGACCACGTGTGCAGAGTTGAAAGGCTCCATAGGGCTTTCAAGGCTGTGAGTTTCGGAAACCGTTACCAACCACCTATTGGTGAGTTTGAACCGTCAGCCTTTCTGCTAGTAGTCTCGTGCTTAACCATTTATGCCACCCAGGGATCAGCAGAAAATACTGAACGGTCATTTTAAATAACTGCCAAAAAGAGTGTGAAAAGAAGAGATGTTGAAGCAACCCTGCGGAAGAGGAAGAGTGTTAGCAGAGAAGCTGTCTAGATGTCTCTGGGCAAAGGGGGAGAAGGATAGACAAATGGATGGATGCCAAAAGTTAGCAAAAGCATACATATCTGGCCTTAGCATGTCATGACCACCTGATTGTGCACCCCATGGCTTAATTTCAGCGTTCTCCCCAACAAAGACATCCTATAGAGCAGTGGTTCTCAACCTGTGGGTCACGACCCCTTTGGGGGTCGAAGGACCCTTTCACAGGGGTTGCCCCGATTCATAACAGTAGCAAAATGACAGTGATGAAGTAGCAATGAAAACTTCATGGTTGGGGGGGTCACCACCACATGAGGAACTGTATTAAAGGGTCGCAGCATTAGGAAGGTTGAGAACCACCGCATAGTGGAAGCTTAGCTCGGGCTCCCCTCATTGGTTATGTAGGTGTGTTTGTCCGGGTTGACTAGAGAAACAAATTCATAGACACTCACATGTGTGTAATAGAGAGCTTTGTATCAAAGAATAATTGTATCTTAAGAAAACATCCCAGCCCGGTCCAGATCAAGTCCTTAAATCCAATATTAACTCACATGTCCAATACCAGTCTATAAGTTCCTCTTCAGACTCACACAACACATGTACTGACACCAAATGCAGGAAGATCACAGGTCAGTGGGTGGAAAGTCTTGTGGATTCATTGGTGGTGGAAGCATCTCAGCACGGACAGGGGTCTCCACATGGCTTCTCCAGCTCCAGGGCTCAGGCTCCATCAACGTAGCTCCATGTGGCTTGTCAATAAGAATGAGTAGCCCAGTGTGTCTGGCCGCCAGTAAGCTATTTATCTCCATCACACCTCCAAATCAGGTCATTAACTGCAACCTGACTGACTAGGCTAGACTCCTCCCCTTAGCAAATTGGCAGGAGATTATAGAACTGCCACGCTTGGCGTTGCCTCACCCAACGGGCTGAAATTTCCTCTGGAGGTGCTTCTGCCTTTAATCCCCAATATCCCTTGATAGCTTGAGAAGAACTGACCTACTGGTTAATAACAGAAGCACTCACTGATGACAGCAGCCCACACAGTGATGTCAAAAGGAAGCTGAATATTAAGGAGTCAGCTGAAGGAAAGCGCGAGGGGAAAACTGAGCTGCAAATAAGGCCCATCGTCTATCTGTAACACCGTTTAAACCTTATCTCCCGGTACCATCGATCGAGTTTTAGCTTAAAGGGCCTGATGTACAGTCAGAGCGTCAGGGCTTGTCGTGGTGACAGGGTTGCTGATGAGTCTGCTTTGCCCTCCCACTGTCCAGCGCAGCCAGCACCCCTCCCCACCCCCAAGACTTACAGGCACGCATGTAGAACAAGTTGTCTGGGCTCCAACCACCCCTTCATATTGTAAACACCTTGAGTAAAGGTCATATATCCAAATTCAACCTGACGTAAATTTGCATGCTTAAGGATTACAGACAGTACAACTTACAGATCAGCATTTCATAAGCAATCCATTTGAATGAAGACAGTAAAGAATTGATTCCACCATTCCATTGTATCAGATGCTGTTTGTAGCAGGACAGCAGCCAGCACAGAAAGCATTTCATGAAGCACGGGTGCTTTGGCAATGCTACTTAAGTAACAGGAATTTCCTAAGTGATAAAAAAAGAATAAAAAATCCAAACTCACTGCCATCAAGTCTGTTCTGATGCATAACAACTCTATGTAGAATTTCTGAGGCTATACATCTTTATTCATGTACAGGCTCTCTCCTGCAGAGCAGCCAGTGGGCTTGCACGGTTGACTTTGCATGTAGCAATCTGATAGGCACCCAACAGACACACCAGGGCTCTTAAAAAAGTCATCGTCAGCAAGTCAATTCTGCCTCATCATGACCCTATAGGATTGCCCCTATGGGTTCCCAAGGCTGTAAGTGCGTATTCCCAGAGAAAATTACTTAGCGCATCTCTTTACTTCATTGCAGGATTTCCAGTGTCGGACTACACTTCAGGAGCTAAATGCAATCCCTCCTATGCTGGACCTCCTGAAGTCCGAATATCCAATTATTCAGTTGTTGGCCCTCAAAACCTTGGGTGTCATTACGAATGACAAGGAATCCCGAGCAATGCTAAGAGACAACCAAGGATTGGAGCCCCTTATTAAGATCCTGGAAACTAAGGTACAGTGAACCCTCGCCACTTCGCGCTTCGACTTCCGCGGCTTCACTCTATCGCGTTTTTTGCGTAACAGCACCCACTGCCTACACCCACTCCTTCAGAGGAAAAAGACGGCGACCCACCTGTAGAGTACATCCCTTAAGTCATTTCATAGGCTATTGATTACAGTATTTGTAAGAACTATGTATAATAATACTGTATGTGAAATATGTAATACTGTAAACTAGATGCCATAAATAATATAATAAATAATAAATGATAATTGTAACGTCCAAAATGTTTTACTGTATTTTCCCTTTTTCGTTTAATAAATTGGGTAATACGAGTGTAATGGTGACTAAAGGGTGTTTTTTCATGTCCTCTATGCTCTGACTATGAAAATATTTGATTTACAAATAAGGAATCCTACTTCGCGGAATTTCATTTATCACGGTAGGGTCTAGAACCAATTAACCACGATAAACGAGGGTTCACTGTATTTGCAACATTGGTTCAACTCTCTGTGATCAAAAATGTCTCTCTCCCATGTGTTGCCGTAAGTTTGACCTGTAGACTCTTTCTTACAGCTGGAAGCCTGTGACGCTGAACCATTTCATTAAGAACACAAGACACTGATTTACTTACTGCTCCCAGAAGGGTATTCTCTTGATTAAAATTAGGCTTATAATTCTACTGTCTTCTGCTTTAGAAGATTAAAGATTTTAAGATTTTAAAATGCTTATCTCTGGAGACCTGAAGCCCATCTATTGGCAATTGGACATCCCCTTACAGAAGGGCCTCGGGGAGGAGACGAGCCAGTCTGGGTGCAGTATAGCAATGATGAAACTTACAACTTTCCTCTAGTTCTTTAATGCTTCCTCCTCCACACTATCATGACCCCAATTCTACCTTATAAATCTGGCTAGACCACAGCATATACACGGGTACAGCTAAAAGCTGGAAACATAGGGAATCCAGGACAGATAAACCTCTCAGGACCAATATTGCGAGTAGCCATACCAGGAGGGTAAGGGTAAGGTGGGGGGAGAAAGGGGGAGCTGATCACAACGATCTACATTAGCCCCCTCCCAGGGGATGGACAACAGAAAAGTGGACGAAGAGAGGCATCGGTCAGTGTAAGACATAAAAAAATAATAAAAATTTATAACTTATCAAGGGTTCATGAGGGACAGTGGGGAAGGGAGGGGGGAAAGTGAGGAGTCGATACCAAGGGCTCAAGTAGAAAGAAAATGTTTTGAAAATGCTGATGGCAACAAATGTACAAATGTGCCTAACACAATGGATGGATGGATGGATTGTGGTAAGAGCTGTATGAGCCCCCAAGAAAATGATGTATTAAAATTTAAAAATACTTCAAAAAATAAATAAAATGCTTATCTCTGACCTTCCTCATCATTTCCCAAAACACCCAGAATTGGGTGTGGGTTCGGTTTTCTTTGTTAACATTGGGCTGCGATGGTTTGCACCTCCGGAGCAAAGCCAGAAGAAGAATTTATCCCTCAGCCGTAGTTTGTGCGATATTGGAGACAAGTTTCCTGAGCGACTAGTGTGGTTCTTGGAATGAATTAGACACGTTGAGAATCCACATACCTCCAGTTAAAAACCCCAATCAAGTAGTTAATGCCATGTAATTGGCATGAAGTGGTCCAGAGAGCCCCTGGAAGTGTCTCGTCTGAGTGCAGAACAAAATGGGAAGGAGATGTGCTGTTGATTTAGACCCGCTTACCGCTAATATAAAAGTTTAGCCAATTGAATGAACTCGGAGAACAGGAATCCACTCTCAGGACTTGTAGAAAGTCAGGAATACGGACAGGGTGAAGGGAGCCAGCGTCTCTGTACCACCGACTTTAAGCTGTCAATCATCCCAGTATTTTCACCTCAGAACAGAGCTGCCACGCTTAGTCACGCAGAAACCAGGAAGGAGTGTGGGTTCCGAAAGGGCACTAATTGCGCAACTTAGTGCTTGACAGTCTGGTGCGTACTTAGCCAGCTTGGATCTGTGGATCACCTGCTAAGCGCTATTTCGTGTTTGGGATAGGGAATTCTGATAACACTGTGTAGTATCTATTTTTATCTTTGAAAATGGAAACGGGAACTCTGAGGTGACTTCCTTTGCCCTGTGTCACACAGCCAGATACAGAGCGACTAACCGCAGGATGGAACCTAAATCTGGGTGCTGTGTCACAGTATCCTCTCCTGCTCAATAGGCCACGTGTCTTCTTTTCACCAGGTTAAGGATCATCCACTGGCTGGCAAGCCTTGTGTGGGAGCTTTGCAAATGCATTAAAAACAAACAAACCATTCAAACAGCCCCTTTGGAAAAAAAGAAAGAAACTATAAAAATAAATTTTAAAAATAAAATATGCTGATTATCATAGTTTTTAGTTGTAAAATGTGGTTAATGATACAATGAAAATGGAAATCATGATAATGTAATAGTTACTCTCATTTTACAGATTCATTACCGTATCATTACTCCCATTTTACAGATGAGAAAAATTAGGCTCAAAGAGGTTAAATAACCTGCACTTGGACACAGATATAGGCAACATAAGGACAGAATACTTTTTTTCACAGCGAATCCATGTATCATGGTTGGAAATTTTCCAACAGCAACAGATGCAGAGTAGGAGAAAAAGCCACTACTCTGCATCCTCAGTTCCTACTGCTCGCGCCTTCTCAAAGGATCTCGCAGATTCTTTCTGTTCATCTTTGCTTACATACCCAAATTATGCGAGCAGACAGGAGCTAGCCTCCCCCCCAAACAAGTGGGGTCATACGATACAGTGTTCACAACGTTCATGTCTTACTTATTGCTCTTGGACTTTTTATGTTAATACAAGTGAAACAGCCTTATTTTCTTTAAAACTGATTTTTGAAATTGTTCAGCGTATTAGCTGTATTTATTTCACCACTGTTTATTGATGGACCTTCAAATTATTAATACTTTCTTCTACATGTTATATATGTGGTTAAGATAAATTAATTCTATTTAACTATGCTTCAGAAAATAATTAAATGGTGTATTATTGTGAATTTATAACAGAAAATATGTACATATTATTTATTGATGGGATTTTTTGTATAATATTTTTGTTGCATATATTGTATGCACCTACATGGGACTTTCTCTAGAATGTATACTCAAAATGCAAATAAAGAATTAAAGATAAATACATTTGAAATGGCCGTATACGATGCCAAGTCTCAGGAACCACACTCACTGTCATCAAGTTGATTGACTCGTAGTGACCCTGCAGGACAGACTGGAATTGCTTCTTTGGGTTTCCAAGTCTGTAAACCCTTCTGGGAGTAGAAAGCCTCCTCTTTCTCCCAAGGGGCCACTGGTGGCTTCAAACCACTTACCTTGTGATTAGTAACCCAGCACGTAGCCCACTACGCCAGCAGGTCTCCACAGAGCCAAGTAGCACAGGAAAATGAAATGTTCTAATTGCTATTCCCACCCATCAGACTTGAAAGTGACTGCTTATTTTCCATCACCGGGTATTATTAATCTTTATATAAACGTTTTATCGTTTTTGTTGATACCGGTTTCCCGAGTGATGACTGGACTGAGAATTCGTTATTCTTTCTCAGCCCTTAGGATTTTCTTTCTGTGACAAGATCCAATCCAGCTTATTTTTCTTTTCTCGCCAAGTGGTAGTAGGAATGAAAAGTTGTGACGCTGTTACACATGCTCTCCTCTGCTTCCTTTAGCTCACCTGTCCATTTTTTATCCACGTTCCTTTTGCAAAATATCATGATCCGGCCACGTTCCCTGAATGGCATCTAAAAAAATAATTTTATTGGGGGCTCGTACAACTCTTAGCACAATCCATCCATCCATCCACTGTGTCCAGCACATTTGTACGTTTGTTGCCCTCGTCATTCTCAAAACATTTGCTTTCTGCTTGAGCCCTTGGTATCAGCTCCTGGTCCCCTGAATGGCATTTTAATCTGGGCATGGTCAGTTTCCCGCCGAACAGTGGAAGGTTTGCTGGGTTGTCCTCTGTGTGTAGCGGTTCAATGAGAAGCTGCTGATAATGATCCCAATTTCATTTGCATCTGGGTCACCTGTTTAATCTTTTCTGGAACCACTCACGATGTTCTTCTCTGGTCTTTGATGCTCTCTGATTGCAGCTTCATCAACTTCTGCTTTTATTTCCCTCTGCTGAAACGTTTTGCTACAAGCATAGCCATTTAAGTTCATTGTCACTTCTTGTGACACCTCTGTCATTACTATTACATCTGGGAGGGTTTAATCCTTTCTTTCCACCATTCTCCTCCTTGGTATCCTCTGGAGCTTTAGTTCTAGGTTATGATTTATTTCCCGTCCATTCTGTGTACACTTGCATAGATGAAGGTTTCTTTACACCTACTCCACCCCTGCCCCAAAGCAAACAACCCAACTGCCCCACAGGGCTTCCGCGGTTGTAGACATCTCTCTAATGACTGTTAATGGTTTCAATGGAGAGAGGCATTCGTGCAAAAGAGTGCTTTTATGTGTCAGCCTAGCCAACTGCCACATTTTTCATGCAGCCATTGGCTGGTTGGTTAGCAGCTGCACACTTAACCACGGAGTGCCCAGAACCCTCTTCTCTCCTCGTGGTTTACTCTGCTCTCCTCCTGTGATGTCTTTCTTTCCGAAGTAGACACTGTGTGTCTCTTGTAGAGACAGTCTCTGACTAAACAACTTTCAGGTGTGTGCAGGTTCAAACATATCTGTTCGTTTTGCTTTTCTACTTAAATATTATTTTGACCCGGAACACACTTGTATGTTTTCTTCCATTGCAACTGGGAAGATATTGCTTCCTCGCATCTGTTATTCCCAACAGGAATCCCGGTGCCCATCGGAGTCTAGTTGCTGTGCAAGTAAATGATTTCTCTCTCTATGGAACTTTCAATATTAGCTTTCCTGTCGGGTGTTTGGACAATGCACCAGGATGTGTACCCAGTTTTAGACCTTCTTAAAACTCCTGCCTGTCACACATTGGACCCTTTC